CTTAGAAGTGTACTGTGGATACCTCACCCCAAACATAATAGTTAATCCTTTAAGTGCAGAAGCCTTGCAGTGTCAATATCGTAACTCTTTATATATTTCAGAAAATCAAAGTAATAGCATTGCATTATGTGTCTTCAACTGGGATTTAGCTTCCATTGTTGCCCTGTGCTTTCTGTCACTGAAGTGTCAGTTGTGTGGTTAGCAAAGGAGGTGTTCCACTTTAGCAGTTTAAACTTTAAAGGGCTGTTTTATAATTTTTCTGATACATTTATACTATTAAAATGAGTTGAGCTTTCTCACATATCAGCCTCTGAAGCTTGAGTATTTTAAACTAATTGTGATCTTATATCTTGCTGAGCTCCAAGATAGCTTTTACAATTAGAGGGGCAGAATCTACCAGGATTTAAGAAAAACATGAATGTACATGAATACAATGCCTGCATAATTCTGCTGTGCTTAGTACATATTTATATACAATCTAAAGTTTGGAGAATGAAACAAGTAAAACACTGCTTGGAGAAATTAAAGCTAAAGCCCATTATTGCAACATTCTGTTTGCCACATTGATCAGGTAAATGCTTTTAGAAGGATGACTCACAAAGCAAAATAAGACAGCAACTTCTCTTTATTTCCTTTTCACTATCTGTTGCCTAAAATACGTTCTCTGTTAAGACAGAAGTTGCATCTTAGTCAGTAGTTTTATTTACAGAGCTCCCTTTCACCAATCCATCTGTCCCATTTGAAAACTCTTCAAACTATTAACTTGGCACTCCACTTTACAAGTAATTCAGGATAGGTGAGAACTTGAAAAGTAGGAAAATAGACACAGCAATAGACAATACACAGGATAATTGACCACTTCTACACATCTGTAATATTTATATTTCTATACATCTGTGATATTTATAGAGAAAACACTCAGCAGCAATATTCCTTTGGAAGGACTGTTAGCCTATTTTTTCAGGCATTATGTTCTTAAGACACTAACAGGCATTGCTAGGCCATGCTACCCAGAAGATACTCCACGTGGAAAGCAAAATCAGGTTGGTTTGGACATAATTCTGTGAAGTACTATATAGATCTGCATTTTAGTCTTAAGTGTATCATTGAACTTAGCATGGCTAACAGGCACAAAGTGAGAGACTGATAGGTGATGATCTGCAAAGTTAGGACTTAGAGGCACTTTGAAACAGTGAAATATTCTCATTGTTTGTGAATATCTCTCAGAGCCCATCAGAGCTATAGGCACAAGTCCTGGTCTTTTCCTGTGATCTAAGAAATAGGCAAATTGACACAGCTGCGTGTTTTGCTAGCTACCAAGATCAGATATAATTTATTGATCCTTTAGATATGTACATCACAAGAGGAAAAAGAAAAAAAGCAGTCAGAAATAATGGCCCAGATTAGTTTACTTATTGACTGTGGAATTAAGGCTTTATGGAAATAGATGAAAATGCGTTGGGTGTCATATAGATGTCAAAGTTTGCCTCCTTCAGCAAAATGAAATAGAAAAATTAAGACTAGAGAGTGACACAAGAATTTAAGTATTTGGTATTCTCTGTGTATATCAGAAATGAGCATCAAACTCTGTAAGCCTATAATAGATGGTTAGTGGTAATGTAACATCTTGAAACTGATATAATGTGGATTATCGCCATTCTACTCTTAGCGGAATGCAAAGCCCATGTGAGTCAGTGGAAATCAAAACATAACAAAATTGCATGAATTAGTGAAGAATTCATCTATCTTACATTACATAAGATCCATCAGCGGAGCATTGATAAGGGCAAACCTGTTCCTGGTGACAGCATTATATATCAGTATTTCTAAGAGTCCACAGATAGTAAAAGTATTTGTCCAATCCAGGGGCAATTTGAAAGTTATACAAAACAATTATTGTTTTTGAAAACAATTGATACATCTAAGAAAACAGTTCCTGAAGTTGTGTACTGTACTGCTAATGATTATACTTCTGTCTCTTCAACAGGAGACCCTAACAAAAGTAGCCTTTGAGTAGTTTACTAGCAACTGCATACAGCAACGTCTGGATAGCGAAGGATAACTGTTTCCTATCAGTAGCAATCATTCAGCAAGTTACAAGAGGAAAATATGTGGTCATCTCTTTAAAAAAAAGATAGTTCACAAGAAAAATCATATAGAAATCTCATTGATGGCTGAACTGAATTATTTCATTATCTCTCTCTTATAGTATCCTTAGCAAAAAATAAACTATATATATGAAATAATAAAATTGAATTTCTCTTCAGCATAGAATAGTTCTGAAAGAACTAACTTAATTTAGAACAAGTAATCAAGCATCAAATGGTTGAGTTGAATAACAAAAGAAAAGCCACATTATTGAGGTAGATGTAGTTATCTTGATGTTCCAACAGTCGTGTAACTAAAAATAAGCTAAGAATCTACAGGATGCAAAACAGGAAACGTTGAACATCCACCTTAGAGGTATATATTTCCAAGCCACTTCACACTAAACAGATGCCCTCGGCAAAGTTGTGAGTTTAGTGTTAATTTGGTGAGAAACGAGAGTAATGGTACAGATATAAGAAAAAGGAAAGATTAGTTGAAGCCCAGGGTTCCATATTAAAATTATGACAGATAGCGTAAAAATATAGGAACTGTTACAGGTGGAAAGTCTAAAACAACTTTGACTTTGTTTCAGTCACTGATTTTAGGCCCACAGAAAGTAACCTTTCTAAAAGAATTGGAACACATTTTGGATAGCACATAATATTTGGAGGGCAATAGCATATACTAATCCTCCCTAGCTGTGAGAGGCCTCTACTCACTAAAGTTTTATCTATTTCAAACAGAAAATCTTTCTTGTAGCTAAAGCATTCATGGTGAAACTGAAACCATAGCTAGCATTGTAAATCAACATCATCCGGAACATCAAGCTGAGTCTTCTCAAAATTTGCTGTTCAAACAAGACAAAATAACATATCCATCTATTGTCTAAGGCTGACATTCCATTTGCTCATGTTCCTCTTTGAAAAAAAAATAGCAGACAACAGGACACATTACTACTTGTACTAAATTCTGTGTCGGTGAAATATTGCAACATAAAAAAAAAACATTCTTTTGCTATTGTTGGATAATTTTCATCCAGAATGAATTTTTATCTTCTTTCTTGTTTATTGTGGATGCTTATTATATTAAGACTTTCAATAATTCATACAGTTTATGAACACAGAAAGAAGAAAAATGAGAATTATGACTTGTAATCTAAATCTGAAAAACTTGCTCCCTATTATGTCAATATGGCTCACGAAAGTAATGTTGAAGGCTATAATTTGGTATAGAACTATAATATAATCATCTATGTAACAAAATGAACATTGGGACAAGTGTCTGAAATTGCTGGTCAGTGTACTCTAGACAGCCATATTATTCCTTCCATCTCTTAGCATCCTATAGAGAAACTTGGGTATATGTGGAGAGGTATATAATAATTCAAAAGCTAGGATTAACCATGGTAAATAAAATTCAGTTTCCGTTAAAATGAACAGAATAACCAACAAGAATCTATCATTTAGATTTCAGATAGCACCATCAGAAGACCTGCCTACTACCAATAGATACTGCTTTCCTAATCAGAGACTGGGTATAATCTCTATGTTATTATAACAAAGGAACTTAAGGTTTCACTTAAGTGTAAAAATAATGCCAATGAAGTTTTATCTCTTCTCTGTCCATGTTAATACAGGTAGTCTTTGACTTACCACCACAACTGAGCTCAAAATTTCTGTTGCTAAGTGTTGTTAAGTGAGCTTTGCCCCATTTTACGATCTTTCTTGCCAGGATTGTTAAGTGAATCACTGCAATCATTCAGTTAATAACATGGTTGTTAAGTAAATCTGGCTTCCTGATTGACTGCTTTTCAGCAATTCGCAAAAGGGGATCATATAACCCCAGGACACTGCAACCATCATAAGTACAAGTCACTTGCCAAGCCTCTGAACTTTGATCATGTGACTGTGAGGATGCTGCAATGGTTGTAAGTGTGAAAAGTGGTCATAAGTCACTTTTTTCAGTGCTGCTGTAACTTTAAACAGTCACTAAATGAACTCTTGTAAGTCGAGGACTACCTGTATATGATTAAACAGTGGAATAATAGCAGAAAAGAGAGAACAATGATTTCAATGAGAAAAGAAAGGGATAAGAAAAGAACATAAAAACTGCAATTTATCAGAGAAGAAAACCACCAGGAAAAAAAGGTTAAGCATGTGTTAAATTCCCAGTGAAATTAACATTGAAAATATTAAACGAATTTAAAATATAGCAGTGTTGTCCATCTGACATACAGGAAAGCAAAATGCCCTATACATTCTGTAATGGAGGTACAGCTCTATGCATGACGTTCCATCACAGATTATTAGTAAACATGTTGACCAGACCCAGAGAAAAAAAATAGTTTCATAAGCACCATTGAATGCAATGAGGAAACATGCTGCCATTTCAATGGGGTTTAAGTAAAATTATATTTCCCTAGGAATGAACACTCAAATGAATTTCAGTGCTATTAATGAATGATTGAGATAGAATGCAGACTGACATGAGCCATCTGCAGCAAAAACTCACTGTTTTATCCTGAAAAAAAATATTTAAGAAGTATTTACTGGGGCTGTGGTGTTTTGGATTTGAAGGCAAATGGTTTGGCACTTCAGATTCCAAGACTGAATCTGAAGCAGCCTCACTTTTTCCCGGGATCTCCTGAAGGTTTGGTGTGTGATTCTGGAAAAAGATGGGTTTGATTTAAGGAGTTGCAGATAGGTATCGTTTGCACTTCCATGCACTCTGAATCAGCTTTTTCACTTCCACATCTAAAACACTGCCCAGTCCTACCATTTATAGCATTGAGAGTGGACCCACTTCGTTTTACAAAGCATTCAGAAGCAAGCTGACAACTTCAGAGGGATCCAAACAAGAATTTAAAGAAGGATTCCCAGAATGAACAAAAAGTTTTAAAACCAAATTACAAATTTAGTTTCTAAAAGTGTTTTTAATGTTGCAAAATATGTCACCGTATTACTGATAAAACTAATCATAATGATTTTTTGAAAGAAAATCTTTTTCTTTTCTTTTTTTAAAAATATCCTGATTGCTATCATGTTATAAATTTGAGCAATGCATTCAACAGGTCTCAACACATAATTCAAGTTGATTACTGCATACATTTGCCCCACACAGCAAGAAAAAAAATGCATTAAAAAGGAAAAAGGCTACTGTCCTCAAGCATCCCTATGTCCACATCTAACTGATCCTGGAAGGGGGGGGGGGGAATGGCCTGGTTCAGTCCAGATTCCTTTCCCTCCTTCTGCAGCAGCTAATCAGCGCTGTTTGGTGCTGATCATATTGATAGGAAAGTGGGGAATGAGAGGTGGGAAATGCTCACGCCCAGAAGCTGGCATTTCTGCTGTACTTGGTCATCAATAGATTGGGGACCTTGCCAGCAAGCAATCGTTTAATAACAAGAACAACAATAATAGCACGATTTGGACTACTCAGTTCCCTGAGAAACTATTGTGCTACAGAAACCCATTGGAACTACAAGAACAGAGAGAATAAAATCCCAGGAGCCTGACTTTTTAAACGGTTTTCCATTTGACTCTACTAACATGGGAGTGGTACCTTGAATAGGTAGCACTTGGGCCTTTCTTTCTGACATGCAGAATATACACATGTGGTGCTACCACAAACACAACCAAATGCAACGCGAAATCTATATAACTGACAGCTCCTGTTCTCTTATCCCTGTGGGGCCCTATCCTGGTCACTGCCTGATGCAAAGTGAAATGAGCTCTGAGCCATCTATAATCAAGAACCATTGTGGGTATTTGTTACTGAACCATTTGTTCCACTTGAAGTGGTCCCATTCTGTCCTTGGTTTATGGTGCACTGCTGAGCATGGTCACCGCAGTGGCAGTAATTTTATCATTTCTTGTGAAACTTCTGGATAGGCTTTTGCTTCCACAATAATGCCTATTGAAACAAACTTTACATTAAACACTGTAGAATTTCTGAGTCCTTCAGAAACCTGTCTGGGTGCAGGCTAAATTCAGGATTGTCCTTCTGCTGCACAGTCATACATGGCCCTCTGATTCACTGCCTTCAGTCACTGTCTTCTTAAGCTCAATTTCTGAAGATGGCTTTTCCTCCTTCTCTTCTGTAGTTTTACTGGCCTCCTCCTACAGCCAATAACAAATGCCCCGTGTGGGTGTTAGGGGAAAGGTACAAGCACATGTTTAAAAAACAATAGGTCTTTCAATCTAAACTGATCAATGAAAAAGAAATTACTCGCTAGGAACACTGTAAAATTTGCTAAAACAAAGATGGGTATGAGACTCAGAATGGAAAATGAAAGTTGTTTACACAACTTCTGAATCAATCAGTAATTCACAAAACCTCTGAACTTTCTAAATATATATCTGGTATAAATTGGAAGTATATGAAATATTATATATATTCAATATTATGAAGCTGTACTTTGAGCATGTGAAAAAGTATTAAGTGATTGAAGGAAAGATACCTCACTGTTCTTTGTTAACTATTTTGATTACCGTTACATAGAAATAAACAGAAATCCTTTAAAGCAGGGGTGTCAAATTCGCAGCTCATGGCCGGATGTGTCACCCACTGGCCATGGCCACTGCAAGTTTAGTGAAGGGGGGAAAAGTCGCAATACGTCATGTGACGCCCCTGCTTTAAAGGAATCATTTCCATTGTCAAAATAACATGACTGAAATTATTTCATTCCTATGTTTGTGTAATGGTTACAAGAATTATAGCAGTGCTACCAGATTATTGGAAATAATTTATAATAAATGAATGTGAATGAAGCTTGACATTTTATATGCATCAAACAAAGGAAATTGTATTTTTACAATACTTCTGTACAATTCCATAAGAAATCCTGTAATTTAACAATGGTTGGAAGGGGGCCATACTGGCAAGGTGCAAACCTTTGCATCTCTCTCTGCAAATTTCTTGAACATGTTGGCATATATCTTTCGGTCCCGTTCATTGTGCTCCTTTGTTTTCTTCTGACACATGGTAATTTGTGACTTGGCTGCCTTATTCTGTGGATTCACTTCTAGCACTCTCTGAAAGTCACATTTTGCCAACTCAAATTCATTCATGAGCAGCCTTGCCTCTCCTCTTCGGTACAAGCCCTTTTCATTGGCTTGGTCCAATGCTAATGCCTGCAAACAAACATTCTTATAAATAACATAAATTAAAGGTGGAAAAATTCCCTCATAATAAAAGACATGGTTAGTAATGCCTGTAACAACACTATGAACCCCAGCTATTTTCAAAATAGGAAAGTAAAACTAAAGCTTCATACTGCATATGCTAAATTTTACAATGTAATTATCACATGTGTACCAAAACAGAAACTAAAATTCAGAAGCAGATTGTTTTACCAGATTGTTTTACAATGCCACATATACTACTATAGAAATAAGAACACTGTTACTGTAAAAGCAAAGTATTAAAAATCTATCATAGCAATCTGTCTCAAATATTCTGTCATTACAATTATAATAATCTCTTATACTAATCTTCAAAATGGATTTTTTTTTGCCCCAAACTATTTAGATGTTATGAAGCACAGCTTTTACAGCTACAAATGGAATATTCTAGAAATAGTAATATGATACTATGACTAAATGTAAATGGATATAGTGCTTACAACTTCCAAATGGAGGCTAAACAGAAAACTTACAGGCAAAGTTTATATGATGACTCATAATGCCCAGATATTTATAGTGTTGTCTAAAAACACATGCCTTTCTTTTATATAATTATCTCAGTAACATAAATGTTCTGTCTCACTTTTAACACATTGTTCTAGCTGTACTATATTCAGAAATCTGTATAACTTGAGGAATATCTTGGGAGAAACAGCTTTAAGCTTGTACTGGTGAAAAACAATACTAAACAAGATATTTAATACACTGTTCATGATACAAAAGTCAGCCAGGAGTTTTATCAACAACATTTTAATCAATGATTTGGATGAAGGAATTGGGACATTCACAAATTATGCAGAGGAGAAAAGATTGTGTGAGGTGGCTAATTATTTAAAGAGAAGTTTAAAAAGTATCTACTTCAGTGCAAGACTGATATGAATAGGATGTAATTTAACAAAGAGAAATTTAAAGTTTTGTGTCTGGATAGGAAAAATATAAAGCACTTCTACAACATGGGGGAGATCTGATGGTATGTGGAAATGACCTTGGGGGAAGAGGAGGAAAAACCAGAGACTAGACAATTGTCAGACAAATAGCAGCTGAGTCTGCAGAAGAAATGGGGACATGATAAATATCTCAGAAGGGACCTCCCTAGTTTCTTGGACTGTAAAGATGAGGGTGAGAGATGAATTCTGTCAGTGTACCCTTACAATAAAGTTAGAATTAGTATTTCTGCGTGTCTTGTCTGAACTACCTCCCAAGGCTGACACAAATCTATATTAAACATTATATAAAATTATATACTCAAATGTATAAAAATAAATTAGAAAGTTGCCCTTAGCTCCCTAAATGCTACAAAATTATTTTACATAATACAATAATTATCCAAGAACTTTAAGAACTTAAGTTGTCAACTTTTCTACATTTGTTAGATATAAAAATATATATCTATTTGCTTTGTAGAGGGTGGTTTGTTTGTTTTTTGCATCATTTTGATACATATTTCTAGTATATTTAATTAACTGGAGCAAAAAACAACAACACCAGAATGAAAATTAAGCAGATTGAGAAAATACTGTAATCAAACATCACCAGTGCTTCCCCAACTCCACAAGGCTAGATGTGTTTTTACCTTATTGCAGTACTCAATTGCTTTAGTGTATTCCCGTAGCTTTAAGTAGCACATAGCAAGGTTGAGGAAGGCTGCCAACAATAAAGATTCTGAAGCTTTAGATTCCCTTTCTGATAAGCCATATTCCATTTCTAACCAGGATACGATCTTTCCATACTGAATCACTGCTTGCAAGTACTTGCCTTCCTAAGAATAAGATTAAATAAGGTTAAAGAGGAGTATTACATTGAAAAATGGAACATATTTATTTCTTAAACATTGGTTATAATTTGAACAATCAGTAACAGAAGAATGAAGGGAAAGAGGAACATTTCAATAGGGAAGAAGTGGGCAAATTGCAAATAAGAATTTTAATACCAGAAAGCTGTAATGTCAGATGCCCTTATTTTGGCTACATTATGACAGATCCATATTTATTGTACATCAACTGCTCAGAAGCTCTCTACACCAAAGCCTAGAGATAGTTCTACTTTTAAGAAAACTATATATCACTGAAAGGTAAAGACAAAGGTAGATGTTAAGAAGGAGAGATTCTCTGAGCAAATAAATAAACTACAGAAGGCTTATCAATAGGAGACAGGTTTTTTTCTAGCAATGCTAACACATACCTTAAAATACACAGTTCCTTTTTCTTTAACAATGGCAGCCTGTTCTAGTTTCTCTTTGGTGTCCATCTCCCAGGATTCTTTGGCCTATAATCAAGTATTTATAACAATAATCAAATAACAGAAAATGATGCAATGCTGAAAATCTAAAGTATACTTCATAATACAATAAATTTTGTCAACTCTTCCTAGTTTCAAGTTTAGTATTACTTAATCCCAATAAGGAGTCTTTTTAAAACCACTGCAAAAGTTAATAGCAAGCAATGAAATAATTATATATAAAAATATTCACAAATTTATATTTGGTTTATATTTAGAACTTAAGGCAGAGTGAAATTTGAAGTAGCCCCATATTGATATCATTGATATTTTCTTTCCAGTCCAAATTATATTCAGTCCAAATTAAATCTGTCCTGAAGACAGAGGAGTTAAAAATATGAAAGGATAACCCAGAATATTGAAAGAAGCCTATACAATTTTACTGAGGGTAGACAGATTTCTTTCATGTAAGTTTCCTTCCTGTTAACATTTCCCATTATAAATTGGCATCAATGCTCCACCTTATGTACATCTTGTTCCTTCCCTGTACTTTACAGAGATGGTACATTCTCCATCACCCTAAAAAGGGCACAGCCTGTTCAGCAATTTTGCCCTGCCCTCCTTTCAGTACTGTTTGGCAGGACGTGTTTTTTTTTTCTACAACCAGAAAAAGAAGTACAAAAGGAACAAGCCTAGGACAAGTCTTGGACCCCACCCAAAACAATAAAACACATACAAGAACACTGTGATCCTAGCTGACATATCTTTACCAACTTTTGTGACAAACGTGCCAGATGGAGCTGGAAATGGATCTTCCTAAATGTATTCACTGTAGAAAAGTCCCTGTGGGTAAACATCCAATGTGTACAGGATGGTTTGTTATTTGAAGAAATTCCATTCTCACCTTTTCAAAGCTTTTCAATGTAACTTCATACACAAGTTCAGCATTTGGTTCTATGCCAAATACAGGCTTTCCAGCTTCACCAAACCCATATCTAAAGCAAAGCACGGGAAAAAATAATAACAGAAATGACTCAGGATAAGGCACATTATTCAGCATTCTGGATATTTATACTCACAGGGAGATAATTGGTTAGCTACATCAGGTCCTAGAGACAAAACATGGGTTGCCTAGGAAACCAATATCTGAGTAGTTCATTTGGGACAAAACACTTATATACTATACTGGACTCAGTGTTATTATTTTGTATTCAGATTGGATGCAATTATATATTGTGCAATCTATTCAATTTTTCATGCACTTATTATCCCTTAATTTTTTTTCAAAATCTTGAAATTACATTAAATAAGTGGATATGCAAATAGTAAGAATATTTGAAATAATTGTGTAATTCTATCTACACACTGTTTAGATATCATTTTAGATATATTTAAAAAGAACTGGTTTATTCTAAAACAATTTACATTACATAACAATCTCACTGGCAGCTGCCACCAGCTACCAGCTATGGTGTTAATTATAAATGAGACCTGTATAAAAGCTATGTAAAAATAGACTGAGAGCCAGGTTGTTGTACTGGTTAAATGTATCAGGCTAGAAACTGGGAGTTCTAATCTTGCTCTAGACATGAAAACCACTAATGATTTTTAGCCACTCATTTACTCAGTCTGGGAAGGAACCAATGGCAAGCCACTTTCAAAAATCTTGCAAAAAAAGAAAACAGCTATATAGGCTTCTCCAGGTGGACACTGGAAGCCAAGACTTGAGCTAAAGACACCAAATAAATAAATAAATGGGGGGACGGACACAAACACTCCTCCCACATTTCTTACTGTGTTCCTATATGCAAGATACAGTGTTCTCCTCTTTGCATCTTCTCCAGAGCTTTGTCAATTCCAATGGGAATGTCATGGTCTTCCCCTTCTCCAACGGTGAATGCTACATCTCTACAATCAAACATTCTGCCATCACAAAACCCTTTCAATTGGACTGTTTGGGAGAGAGAGAAATGTTATGCAATGTAAGGCACTACCAACAACATTTCAATATGCATTAAACAGCATAACCAAAACATATCATTTGTTGACATTCTTCTCTTCACCATGGCTGGCATAACAGAAGAACTTGGTCTCAAAACAAACTTCAAAATCACATTGTTTTTGACTTTTCCCTATTTCTAAAATGAGTCTAAACTGATTGATGTTAAATTAAAAAAACTAGATAAATTTTATTTTCTTATTTATTACATTTATGTGCCACCCATCTCATCCAGAGGCAACTGTTCTTAGCCTACAGAACTGAAGACATTGTGGGCTGGTTCTCTGAGGCAATAGTGTGAAGACGGCAGCTCTCAGTATCAGGCAGCAGAATCCTGCCTGATTTTGAACCCAGACTGGAATTGTGCTGCAAAAGCTACTAACATTCTGCCTGAACACAAAAAGCTGCACTGCATTACATTGGCAGGATATAATTTCTTTGATATTTTGGGGAGAACATGGTGAATTTAGATAAGAGCAAGAACTGAGAGGAGAAATTTGCTTCAAAAGGAAGAGCCAGACAGCTTTATCTTTGTTGCCAGGCAAAGTAATATGTCTCAGTTCTATCAATGTCAGTTCTATCAATGTTGTGAACAAGGCATTAGTTTGCTTTATTATAAGTACTATAGATTAACATTACAATGTATAAATATGAATAGTTTCTGTTTCTGTTTTATTATTTAGTAAAGAATGACAACAAACAAGAAGATATCAGTAATATTCCTAAAGAAAGCTATGTTCAGATTCTAATGGAATAATTCCCTCTGCATTATAGCTCATAAAAGAAAAAGAGAAAATGTATACATGCTGCCTAAAATAGCACTACAAAGGTCGTGCTTGTCTGGTGTATGGTCAGGATAAAAGACAAAAAAATGCAAAATTAGCACAAACTATTGCAAATATCTCAGACATCTTTACAATTACACCTGCTAAGTAACATGAAAGTATAGGTATGAGAGTTTTTTCCCCTTCAAAGATAGATAAAATGATACTAAGTTGCAGAATGCTCTAAGAATACCATCCCACATAAATATGATCCTAGATATAAAATAAAGTTATAAGGTTAGTAATAAGGAATTAAGCGGTTGAGAATTCTGGTGTTCACTGATCATTAATGCTAAGGAGGGTTAGACCTGATTAGAAACTGATTATAAGACTATCATGGAAACATCAAGGCCATAGGCTAGACTGGAAGTAGAAAACAATTCATGGAAGAAGGCAGTTGTAAAATACTTCTGTTATGTTGCCAAAAAACCAATAATAATAATAATTGGAAGGCATCCAAATAGGTAAGGCTAAGCCAGATTGTTGTTGACAGAAGTTATGCATATGCATACGCATATGTAGGAACTGGCATTTATGTGTGTGAGAATGACTGGGCATAACCTCTCTCACTAACCCTTTCCACCCTCTTTTGCAATCTCCAAAGCACTCAGTGTAATCCACCAATCCCCAACTAAAGAACATGAATCCTGTATTCATTCTAAGCCAGAAATTGTGGTATACAGATGAGCAAGATGTCTCTCAATGACTGCAAAGGGAAAAGCCCAATGGCACATTGGCATGACAAATTGTCAATACATGTTAAAGCCTATGTCAAGTAAATATAGTAATTACGAAGTTACACTGTGTTCTACAATGGAAATACATGACGAATCTTGCAATCATGTAACAGGCACGCTCAAGGTCAGGCCACCATAGGAAACTTACCTAACCATAAAAATGGTTCCCTTGACCAATCATAAAAAAATCATTTACCAAAAAAAAGGAAGTATTCCCTTCCTCACCTGAAAATATAGGGTTTTGGCAGTATTTGTTTGTTTGTTTGTTTATATATCTTAACCATCCATCTTCCTCAGAGAAAGCCTCTGGGTGATGTACAATATAATACCATCTCTCTAAAAATCATTTAGAAAGCAACATAGACAGAGGTATGATATAAATCAGAAGAGATGCCTAGGAACATTCCAGAACCCAAGGCACCAATTGCCTATCTCTGCACAAATTGTGCTGTAATTTATCACCCAAACCAGGCCACATATGAAGTCTAAGCTAGAGATTAGTCTATAGACTAGAATCTGCAAACAAATCCAGAATTTTATTCAGGCAATGCTGTTCTAAATGCCTAGATATTATCAAAAGTTTGTTCAATTGCCCATCATTCAATGTAATATTTGTATTCAGTGTATTCCATACTCTTCAACCAAGAAATGCTCAAGACAGCTATCTCACATAAATAAAAGATTCAGGTCAATCAGCATGGTTTGAATTTAAGTGATGTAGTTTTATTATATTCTTTAGCTTACCAATGCCAGAATGTTTTGTTATAATTAACATTGCTATTTCAGTAGTCTATGGATGAATTTTACACAGGGGTGGGATTCAAATTTCTTAACAACCGGTTCTGTGGGCATGGCCTAATTTGTGGGTGTGGCTTGGTGGTCATGTGACTGGGTGGGCGTGGCTTGCTGACTGGATGTGGCTTGGTGGTCATGTGACAAAGCTTGTATGTAAATATTGTAAATATTTACGTAAATATTGAATTTTTTATAAAAAGAGTAACTTTTACCCAAAATCAGGCAAAGCAGGCAGGCAGATTGAGTTGCTCCCACAATCACACATTCACTTAGAGACCTACCATTCTGCAATCTGCTACCTGAGTCTGTCACATAAAATTTGCTTGCAAGCAAACTCACAAAATTAACTCACAACACACCATCTATGTAAATATTGAATTTTTTTTTTTTAAAAAAAGAGCAGCTTTTACCCAAAATCAGGCAAAGCAGGCAGGCAGATTGAGTTGCTCCCAGAATCACAGATTCACTTAGAGATCTACCATTCTGCAATCTGCTACCTGAGTCTGCACTGAAAAATAGAAGCTTCAGTCCTAAGGAAGGTTCAGCTCTGCTTTTATATTAGCTAGAAAGCAAGAAATCCAACGATTTCCTGCTTTCTAAATCTCCTGGCACAGCAGAACAGCTGATGGTCGGGGGAAAAAAAGGGAAAATAGAAACTTACTGAAGGCAGGCATGTTTGATGACTTGCATGCCATGTAAGGAGTGAGTGGGCGGGGCGGGGCCAGCCAGTGGTGCAATTTGCCAGTTTTCCAAACTGGGCAGAATCATAACTATCAGTTCTATTGAACCGGTCTGACCAGGTAGAATCCCACCCCTGATTTTACATACACTGACCATTTTGTCATTTTATTTCTTTGTTTGCATTACTTACAAACTTCCCTCTGACTACTTTGCTAGCTTACGAAATGCTTCAGGCATTTTATGAAAAAGTTTCTAGTCTAGGAATATTCATAATACAATACTTAGGCACTACAACTTCTTGTATTTGTACCCCCATGTAAAATTTAGTTGAACTCTAGTAATCCTTTGCTTCTTCCTTGTAATTTCTAACCCTTGGCCTTCTCATACTGAAGTAATTATTTTGTGTTCTAATAAAAACAATTGCCAATATAAATATAAGACTAATATAAAACAAAACAACCCTCTCTTCTTAAAAAGTCTTTTGCACTGGAAGCCAACATTATGAATTTTAGGTATCTGTGGATCATCAAGTATGCATATCATGAAAAAATTGAAATGTAGCAAGATGCCAGAAATTTAGCATAAAATGCTATAAAATGAAATTGGATAGGAATTCAAAACCACTTTCCACCAGAGATTTTGTTCACATAAACAAAGAGCTCAAGTCCTTTTGAAATGTGAGCTTCATTCCATTATTATTAATACAGATTCTACAGCTTACATTTTTCTTTCTATTTGACAATCTCTTGAGTGCAATCTCTTATACTACTGTACATCAATAGAAAAATACATCTTTTCTGGATGGAAAAACAGAACAGAAAGCATGTCCATCTAATTCGCTATGGCCTATACTGTTTAGTAATATAATAAAAAGAGGATTGTAATGCGGCTTTGAATTCTCTCTCTTTATGTCTGAGAAACAATACTTTTGCCATAGATACTTAAGATTCTTGAACGTATGCTTTTCACTTTCCAAGTCCTGTCCTATGACTCTCAAATTGCTGGTAACAATTATTTGTCTTTTGCAAAAACAAACAAAAGGAAATCCAAACAGTATTTTTCTTTTCCTGAGCAATGTTAATCTCCTTTCTAAGTACACTATCTGATGCAATATTTAGGTGTTGTATTGTGTATATTTCTCTAAAGTATGTTATGAGTGGCTTAAGGGAACATGAAACCTGTCTACAGTGATACATGGAAGACTTGCAGTACTGAAGTTTAGTCGCTGTATCACTGGTGCAAAAATACAATGGCATCACCTTATGTGTTATGATACTTTTGACTAGTAGACATGCATCTAGATTAATTATCTCCCTGTATTCTTAGGTAGCATATTGTGTTAGTGTCAACACAGAATCTACTGATAACTGTGAAGGAGTTTCCAAAGATTCTAATCTATTATTTTAAAGACATTTCTATTTTCCAGCTATAGTTTTGAGTGTGTATTATGTACAATAATCTTTCTGATGTAAAGTATCACCGTATATTATTGTTTTTGTAGAATTTATGTGAGCTGTTCATTGAAAACAAGATAAAAAACAAAATATTTTATATAACTATAACTGGGCAATAAAATGTCATCCTAATTTAAAAAGTAGTGGCAATTTAGTGTGAACTTTGAAGCTCCTTTTCCAGATAATAAAATGGGTTCCTGCAATGTTTTGTTAACTTTATAATTTCCACTCAGTATCTTTATCAGGAGGTATGAGATGTGGGGGATTGTGGCTAGAAAAAAGTGTAATGTACAATTTTTTTAGCTCATATTTAAATATAATATTAGATATATACTACCGGTAATTTGGAGTGGTCCCATTCTGTTCTGTGTCAACAATCTTAATCAACTAAATTCACTCTTTGGTAGAATGATTCTTCATGAATTGTATAAATATAGTACAGGAAATACTTCCATAACATGATTATCAAAGCTTACTTAAATACTATCTGAAAGAGATCACTTGGGTTGAATTACACTTGGATTGCACAGTAAGAAATTCCAGCCAGACTAGGGAACATCAGTTCAGCTGTTGAGTTGACTTATTGTTCTCTGTGTGCCTAGAGCAATTTTGTTTTGAAGAGCACAGAACATTGTGTTCTTAATGTGGCTGGCACATGAACTCTGTGCACTGACAGCAATTTGTACAACTTGATTAAAACAGCAGAGGGCTGCATAGTAACTTGAAATGCAAATATCCAAGTAGTCTGTGTTTTAGGAAGCATAGCAGTGAAATATGCCCTATCATTCAAGTTAATAAGACTGTCTTCATAAATCCTATCCTAAGATTTCAACACAACTACATGTATGTCCTAATTATAATAATGTCAGGAGTCTTTAAATTAGCTTCCTAGCTAATGCTGGGTATTACTACAACTCAGAAAAAACACTATCAGTTAATGATTGTTGTGCAAGTTTAATCGCCTGCTTGTCTTCAAAGTACAGTCAGAACTACTTTTCTGGTTTTCCACCAACCTACTATATATTCATATTAAATCAATCAAAACATTTCCACTTTACTATAGTTGGTAAGAAATCTGAAATGGGTTCTCAATCCAATGACTTTTGTCTCCTAGAATAGAAGATAATAACAGACATATTTATTTAGAAAATTTATATGGCTGCCTACTTGCTCACAGCAACTCTAGGTGGCTTACAAACAATAAAAACATAGTATAGAAATCATTAAAAAAAAAAAATCCCTTACCCTGGGTAACATCATACAGCCAAATAAGCCATTTGATGAGCTCCATCCCACTCTGGGTTCCCAGGCTCACAGGCACATTATATTTCTTTCCTTTAGAGCACCTTATTTCCATGCCACTCACAACTTATTTTAGGGTTGTTTTCATAATTTTTGACAATACAGATACAATCTAAGGTCAGAAGATGTGGAAGCAATACTATTTAATATGTTTCCCTTAATTGGCAATCCCAAGAAAATTAATGACAGAACAAACAGGGAATTAGAACAGGCATGAATAAAACTCCAATCTTACAAGGATAACAGCTTACATGATCAGGGAAGGAAGCAAAAGGAAGGAGGAGAAAAGGGTTAGTAACAGTGCATGCAGAACAGGCAATCAACATCATCTCTTTTCCCTACAGTAATTTGTTTCCAAGATAAATTGTTTTTTTAAAAAAGCTACCCCCCCCCCCAAAAAAAGCAGAAAGCTAGCAAGGATGTGGAAGCACAATGCCTTGCCAGTTGTAGGTCTGTGCACATGTAATAAACTCCAGGGAGTTGATCAAGAGAAGCTGAAGGAGACAGAAATAAAGTAACAGTGAAAACTGGTAAAGATGTGATGGAAGCATTCCACATTCAATCTGTCAGTTCTACTGCTGTTACAGAGAAAGGATACCAGTCTAAGGGAACATAAAATAGGCAAATCCCATGGAAGATGGGCAAACTACAGACACCTTTATCTGGCAAGAATATGTCTGTCAGAAGCTTTTATGCTGGGATTCAGTATTAGAAGCATAGGGTGATGAGTGCGACGGACAAACACACTGTACAAACTGGTCCTACAAGCATGAAGCCTGTTGATTATCACATGCCATCTAGATATTCCAACATAAGGAATGAAGAACCCTACCCTACAGTATCAGTAGAATATTATTCTTCCTCCTCAATAATATTCTTTATAATTTAAAGAACAAGTTTATAAAAAGGTAGACTATATTTTCCCAACTTTTTTTTTCACAAGGAGGAGAAACGAAGCCCAGGGAAACTCCAGCTTGATAGAAATGTGTGTTAGAAAATTAAACTAACCTCCACTACTGGGCCTGGATCATATCATTTAGATATATATCTGAAATGATTCAATTGATTTTACCACCTATTTTCCATAAGCCTCATCAGTAATAAAGCAAGACGAAGGAGATGAAGTACAGTAGTTGTTCTCTCAGTTAATGGAAAATATTAACAGATGGCTGTGATTTTTATTGGTTTATATTTTTTTAAAAAACCATTTTCTTATGTGTCACTGGAGTTGCATACTGCCCAAAGAAATGTGGTTATTGGGCATTTCTGAAGAATAGGCAAACAAACAATTTAAAATACCTACAAATATGTCTACAATGATTTGTGGGTTGGATTATATAATCCAGAAGAAAACATATTAAATTATAGTAACCTTGCAATCATAATCATAAAGAAACCAAAAAGCCATAAAGGTGGCAATGATGAAAGAGGGCATGAGAATAGCATTTGCAATATTAGAATCTTATTTTCTGAGGAATTCATATTTAGCATAAAAAAATCAGAATATATGTAACTTGTCAGTATAAGCTTAGTCTCCTTTAGAGACCATTGTAGAATTTAGGGTTGATATAGTTTAGAGTTATATCCAAAACCAGAGAAAGAGAGAACTTTCAACACAATATTATTATTACCATAACTAACACGACATATCAGTAAACTTTTACCTCAACAGATAATCTCTCTTTTTAATATTGTAACACAGAGGGGAAAAAAGAATCAGAAATACTATTCATATATTATGGGGAGGGGAGGGAGGACACAAAGAGAGAGAAAGCAATATTGCCATGGATTTTACTATTATAATGTACTTTAATAAGACAGTATAACTATTGTGTGCAATGACCTCAGTATTTTATATAGGCAGAAGAGGATACTCACCAGTGGTGGTATTCTACCAGTTCAGGCCGGTTTGGGCAAACTGGTAGTAAAAAATGTTACCATTTGTCTGAACTGGTAGTAAAAAAAACAGCTACTGGTTCAGCTGAACCGGTATTTCTTTTTCTTTTCCTCCTGACAATCAGCTGTTCCAACGATCAGCTGTTCTGGGATCCCCCTCACTATCTTACTGCTTCGCCCAGGAGGCTTCCCTGAGAGCCAGGAAGCAAAAAAACTGAGCACAAGGTGTATGTGTGCTGCGCCGCCCCCACACTCTGTTTTTTGTCTCCTAGGCCTTAGGGAAGCCTCCTGGGAGCAAAAATGGCCTCCCAGGAGGCTTCCCTGAGGTCCAGGAGGCAAAAAAAAAATGGAGTGTGTGTGTGGGGAGGTTGCTGCAAAAAAAAAAAAAGGGGGGCACGCCCACCCAGTCACACAGCCACACCCACAGAACCAATAGTAAAAATATTTGCATCCCACCCGATACTCACTCTGAACAGCTGCTCCTTCATTGGGGTTAGAATATCCTTCACCTTTTTGCTTGATCCTACGAATGATGCCTCCATTATCAAATAAATCCTCCCCTTTGAAATCAAGCAGTTCAATCTAGACAAATAAACAAATAGCTCAAACTTTAAATAATGCAACTTCACATATAAAAGCATATTAAAAAAAAAACACAGATATCTAATATCTAAAGATAAAACTATGTGATGACTCTTCCAGTAAGCCTACTTTCCTCTATAATTATAGAAAAAGGAATATATAAAGTATTTAGTACAGCTCTTGCATCTTTTCAGTAGCAATATTCTGACAGATTTATCAGTTATCAGAGTAACTGTGGGAATCAGCATTAGACTTCATTAGAGCCAATGATGTGTCAAAGTTAAGTCACTCTCATCTAGAAACATTTTTCTCCCAGATTTAGGATAAGCCCAGCTAAATATCAGCACTTAGTCAAACCTGACTGATCTGAAAGTATTAGATAAGGTTGAATAGGAGCTATAGAAAAAAAATATCAGGGCTATAGTGTAGAATTTAAGTTAAAAAAAAAACACACTAAAAACAATTGAAAATTACTTCCATATTATTGAAAATCAAAATGTTATTTAAAGGAGTCTATTTTAACTTTTTTTTAATTTGCACATAGTTCACTGATTTTTTATTCACTCAGCCTTCCCTAGGGATCTGAGCAAAATCAATGCATTCCTCAGGCTCTGTGCAATGCAGCTTCAGGCCTCCACATCCTTTCTCAGTCTGATTATGCAGAACTGGATTGGAGTCCTAGTTGCCTAAATAACATTTAAATGATAACAATTAACCAATGGAACAGCTTGCCCTCGGAAGTTGTGGGAGCGTCATCACTTGAGACTTTCAAGAAGAGAGCCGACTGCCATTTGTCAGAAATGGTGTAGGGTCCCCCGCTTGGGTGGAGGGGTTGGACTAGATGACCTATAAATTCCCTTCCAACTCTGCTTATCTGTTATAACATTTGCTATTTAGTGTTTCAAGAGCATGATCTTTTTCAAGCCTGATAAAATTTTACCCCGCAACATGATGTTTGAAGCATTGCCATTGCCGGACTGTGTCAGATAGCTAAGCAGTTCACAATTCTAACACAGAGTATTTGGAGATAGAATATAGGTCATTCAATTAAACTTTCCACTACTGTAAATTTGTCTCATAGTTTTTATAGGACAATAACAGAAATTTTATAGTTAAAGAAAAAAAATCACAAGACTAATGCAAGCTAAGAAACTCACAATATTTGTCCCTGTGGAGGAAACATATTTTTATTGGCAACCCTTTCAACAATGTTTTGTGAACTGCAAATAATTTTGTGGCTAGTGTTTTTTATGCTACAAAAGTTTGAAACTGAACAACAAATCAGGTTTTTATTCACTTGTTAGCAATATTTACAAGATTTATATGGATGGAAAGGTAATTTTTTATATCTTTAGTTATAGGATTATGTTTTACAGAAAGTAGTAATTATATGAAAATTTTACCAAAAGTTCTATAGATTTAAAGCTACTTAGAATGAATAACTGGATCAAATTACTATTTTATCCACTAAATAAAAAAAATCGGTTTTCTGTTTCTCCATTTTTCAAAGTACCCCCATTTCATTTCAGAAATTATACTTCTGTTTATGCAACCTAAAAATGCATTTGCCTTCCTTGCAGCCACATCACTGGCTCATATTCAATCTGCAATCAGCTACTGTGCCAAGATCATTTTTGCAAGTACTGTTATCAAGGCAAGCATTTGGCATCCTATATCTCTGTACTTGATTTTTGTTTCCTTAAGTATTTTGCATGTCTCTCATATTTAATACTGTTATTTTCAATCAACTTGTCCCACTTTTCAAGATTATTTTGATTTTGATTTCTTTCTTCCAGAGTAATAGCTATCCCACCCAATCTTCTCTAATTTGCAAAATTGATTAAGCATTGCTTCCCCCCTTTCATGCCTCATCTTATGTGTAAAACTGGATTGCCTAGAAGCTTACTTTAAAAAAAATATTTATGATTACCTTCTGCAAGTACATTTTCCCGGAATAAGAAATACAAATGTGAATATTATTGGTTTTATCGTTCACAGCTCCTATATTAATTATTTTAGCAAATAGATGTATTAATGACATAAAAATATAATTTACATAGTTTTTATACATTTATATTTTATTGTAGTTCCTTTAGAACCATGGAATTTGAATACCTGTAATAAAAAGAAAGAAAAAATATTTCATAAACTTACCTCAAAAAAGAGGGTTGCGTTTGAGGGGATCTTTGGGACACTACCAGCAGAGCCATATGCATATTCTGGCCTACATAGCAAGTGGCAGATCTCTCCTCTTTTCATAGTGGCAACCCCAATATCCCATGCTTTGATAACCTGACCTAACAAAATGAAAATTTCAATTTAATAATTTTGTTCAGTAGCTTTTCTTGAATCAACTAGAAATACACAATGTCATGGTCAAGTGACAAAATAGGACACTGTACTAAAACTGTACGTCTCAGTGACTTTTTAATCTGACAGTTTAAATAAACTAGAAAGTGCTTTATTGAAGTGGCACTCATTTCAGAAAGGAAGTTCTGCATAATCATCCAATTCAGACTTTACACTATACTGGAGCTTAGCATGATCTGCAGAAGCTTTTCTGCACTGAAGCCTTCAGCTGCTTGTCTTCCATGTATGAAGCGGCTAGAAAGGAAGACAGCTTAGGAAATGTTTGGTCTTTGGTCATAGTAATATCCACATATTCTGTTCTGTCCTCACTACACATATTCTGTCCAGGATATGGTCGATGTGATCTCTGATGAGGGTATTGCCTCCTTCTTTCTACTCTCATCCATGCCATGTAAGCAAGTTGTGATTACTTTCCCTTCTCTGGGCATGGCTTTTGAGGACAGGTGAAGCTCTCCCCACCACAGCTGTCCCAGTTTTACACTTCTATTACTTAGGCTAGAAAAGGATACTTGGCAGAATTCTTGTCCATTCTGCCTGGTTAAAAGAAAAAACAAAAACAAACTTGGCATTTGACTGACCCTCTGCTAAACCTGTTCAAACAATAGTATTTTTTTTTAAAGGCACAGCCAACATTTCAATGTTCTACTACTGAACCTGAAGAAAAGGCATTTCTTGGCAGGCAGCCCAGTACAAAATGGCAGGCAAAGGCAGGGGGTGGGGGTGGAGGAGGGCATGATGCCCATCAGAATAAGGAACAGCCAACTGCAAAAGAGGCATTTGTGTAAGTCAAAGTGAAGCACAGCAAAAAGAATAGGCTATTAGGTTTACTGCAGGGGAGAAAAACAATTACTTTTGATGGAGAAACAGAGGAAGTCAGGTAAGGTCACTTTCCTAGGAGCCTAAAATGGCTGAAAACAATGTGATATGTTTTTGCCCTTACCAAGGGATGGATAACCTCTATTCTAACTGGGCCAAGCAAGTAGTGCAGATCAGCCCTTAATCTCACGTTCAGCTTTCCTTTAAGCATTTGACAGTAATGCTGCACATGATGTCAGCACTTCAAGGTAGACCAGACTACAAAACCAAAGGTATGCAGGCCAATAAAACTTTTATTATAATAATATAGTAACAGAATCTTGCCAATCTGAATGAGCTCCCCCTCCTGCCCCCTATATTTGTGAGAACTAGGGAGTCTTGTCGGAGACATTTTCTCAGGCTACATCTACTCTGGAGTCAGGCTTATTTTATCTGACCATTGATTTGGTAATGGCCCTTCCACCTATCCTTCCCTTACCCCATATATATGACCTTTGCTTATGAAATCAGTGTCCTACTTCATCCAAATATAGGAAAACATGATTTGTATTGTACTACCAATGATTAATGATTTCAAATACAAAATTAAACTTGTATAACATCTGCCAAACTTATAGTGTAAAATTTAAGTATAGTTTCATGGCTCAATGGAATTCCACCACTGGAGAATGGTAAACCATCCACTTTCTAAGGCAGAAACGTGTATTACAAAACTTACACAATAGAAATTCAAGATCCATACACAATACATGTACAATTTTTATCAAGCCTTTATATGTTTGTCAAAATCAAAGATCTCATTGTAGTTAAAAGAAATTCAGCTTCAATACTTTGGAATTATCTACTTATGGAGATTTCTTCACAGTAGGACATAATCACGCATAATGGCTTTGAAACTAAAGAATGTAGAACTTAGTATTACTGCTTTTGCTTAAACTTAATAGGCAAAAAAAAATCAGTCGAAAGGTTGTATACATTGCCAATTATAAATGACAAAAACTTATGCTGCCACAAGAAATTTGTTAGTGTTTATGTTTATTGTTACAGATGTACCTTACTCTTTACCTGAAAATTATCTTTTTCAAAAAATAATAATAAAAAGTGCCACAGTTAAAGTTTCCTTATAGTGCTTAAGCAGATTTTTTTTTAAAAAACCTGCAATTAATAACTATGTTGTTTTATTACACTTTGACATATCAGGAAAAAAAGAGGAAGACTTTAATGCAGTGGTGGTATGCTACCGGTTCAGCCTGGTTCTGCCGAGTTGGTAGCGGTGATGAGCAGTGGAGACCAAACCGGTTCTCTCTGCCACTCTGCTATTGGGCCGGGCTCCCATACTCACTTTTATCTTCTGCTTTTGAAGCACAGCTGCTTTGCGCGACAGCTGCTGAAGCAACCAGGAGAGTGCAGGCTTGCAGGAGGTGAGTTGGAATGCCTCTGCGCCTGCGCAAAGTGTGTGTTAGTGCATGCGTGCACGTAAAGTGTGTGCACGCATGCAAAACGCGCCCACCAAGCCACGCCCACCGAACCAGTGGTAAAAGTTTTTTAATCCCACCACTGCTTCAATGGGACTGCAACCTGATAATCTGAAATCATTCCCAGTGTCCAGGAATTAGGGCAGAATCATTTTGATATGAATGGAAATAGCAGGATGCTCTCCTCTTTTCTTGCCCAGGTTTTCCTTCCACACTCAAAATCTGCTCCAAAGCAGGCTTTGTTGAATGAATGACAGGCTGACATAAATTGTCTCTTTCCATTCTGATAATGGAAACCATTTCAGCTGATAAACATCCCATCCATTCTACTGCTGTTTTACTCTTAAAAATTAACAAATATTTGAACATATTTCTTTAAAATGTTCGTTTTTTTCATTGCTGAACACATTAACAGTAGAAGGTCTGATGAAAACCTCTAGAATACTACAGGTGAAAATGAAAAAGACTTTAGACAGCTGATTTTATTCCGATGACAGCTAAATGTGCTCCATTGCTTAGAGCGCCATTTGACAAAAATCATTATAAAGCAGCTTTATACATAGGTTGAACCATGAACTTCTCTTCCTTCACAGTTCTGCAATCAGGCTGCTTGGCAGCTATGCCAAAATTCATCAGATGAGAGAGAATCTTACTCTGTCAGAATTATAAGATCTGCCTTTAAAAAAAAAACCAAATCAAAAAGATACAGTATTGCCATTAGCCAAAGTATTTTTCCACAGTCAAAATAAACAGTGACATGCAGTTTCATATAATTTATGTTTGTTTATTAAACTATCTCAGATTGTAACTGATGGGAAAGGCAGAGACGCATTTTTATGTTCCGTCAAAACAGAAAAGCATATACAAAACTAGCATGTCAGGAAGCAAGGTCAGGCATTTGATTCCCCACCCATAATCAGTAACAGATACATCACATGAGGCCACTAATCATGTACATTTTATTCACATCTGAAAACTCCAGGCTTGCTTTAAATGTATTTATAAGCCTATAAGAAGCTGGCCACTGTACAATGAGTGGAGGAAGATTTCACTCTGATAATTCTTAATGTTTACAAACAAAGCAAGTGCTGTGTTAGCCTTGATGGTAAACTAGAAATTTAGTCCCTGCCTGGAAAAAGAAGGGAGTGAGAATATATGTTTTGCAAGAATGATACACAGCTAGTCATGCTTGCACAAAAACATTAGTAAACATCTTTTTCCATTAAATATGGCAACATACTTTCTGAATTACAGAAGTGATGGTGCAGCATTTTCACTAGAACTACTAAAGGCAAATCTACCCTACAAATCTGAACTATTAGAGCAAGAGCAAATTAGTATAACAACTTCATTCAAGAAAATAAGAAGTTGAACATGATAAATGCACATACAAAAAAATTTCCTCTGAAAGGCCCCTAATCTTATGACAGAAATATAATTTTCAAGTCTTCCAGATTGTGATGAGAAACTAAAACCATTTTGTAATGTTTGCATCTTCAATGCAGCCCAAAATACCATTGCAAATTAAGGTCAGCATTTCATAGCAATATTATGAAGGAAAAAATACTGGGTGCCTGATTGGCCCGATAGTGACAGATCTCATATACTTGCTAATTCTTAAGAGTTTGTTTGCCCTTATAGTCTTTCTGAAAACAGAACTACTGTATATACAAATATATTGAAATTTTGTTGGAAAAAAAAACTCCCGTTCATATGCCTAAAGCTCTCTTTACCTTTCTCCACCTTTTCCACTCTTTACCTTTGCCCAGGCTGAAGATAAATGGCTCATTCCTGTCACGGCTGGAATCAAACTTTTTTCCATTGGCCAGCTTTCCTTTGTAATGGACATAAACTTTGTCTCCAATCATAGGAGATTCATCCTTATTTCCTGGTCTCTTCACAATCTAGAATTAGGAAATGAAAACAGGGTTTAGCAATTATCAGTTCTTCCATATTATTCAAATGTATGGGTTTATAATTTCATAATTTTCACTGATTCATCTCAAAAGGTAGATAAAAAACAATAATAGATGAAAAACTATAATCGGAATATAAGTGCATACAGATCACAACCCAGAAAATTCGTTGACTTCCAATCAACTTGTTTATAATGACTCAACTGGTTCTTAATTCCATGGGAATCTGACAACCAATCAGGATACATTTCTTGCCAGGAAGCAAATTCAAAGCCAACCCAGGTGGACATTTCTTCCAACATAAGAAACTGCAAATTTTGCTGTAATATCCAAACTGGTCTTTTATTTTACATTGTATTTAACTACAATATCTGTTAATGATCTAAAAACCCAGTGAAATGTCATTGTGGCTTCTACATCTAGCTAAATTCCCCTTGTAACATTTACCACAAGATTAAGTTTGAACTGTAAAGTAACTGAAATACATATTTTTCAGGAGCTAGTTTTTAATTCTTCTGGAAACACTCAAAATGGTACAAATGTACTATACAATATCTTGTACTTGTCCCACTTTTTTGTGTTATGTTAAACTTACTACAACCAAGATCTGCATTATTATAATGGAGATGGGACAGGGAAAGGGTGCTGCCATTTGAATTGAGATATTTCCAAACTGTTATGCTTGGGGAAGAACATTAATTTTTCCTATAATCTCACCTTCAGAACTCCTCGATCTTTATTTGGTGTTATATCTTCACCTCGTTCAACAAGAGTTGCTGCTTGGACCTCGCCTTCCTTCTTTGTAGCCTCATCAGTTGTCATGGTCTCATTTCATAGGCAGAGCCTATGCAAACAAATACAAACTTGAATGAATTATGATAAATTGCCCTATTAAACGTGACTCCAAATGCTGCCTTCTATCACATGACAATTTCTCCATATGTTAATAATAAATGAATATAAATAGTAAAAATCATTAAAAAAAATAATACATGGCTAGAGAGCCTTTTTAAAAGAGTCTCACTCCCACAGATAATGAAAGAAGCTGATAATGATAGTGGACAAAGTCATTTTGCTACTACCTCTATTTCTTCCTCTTACAATCTTGGTTTTATTCCCATTCCAGTGGAGCCTGGGGGGCATGTTAGTTTTCTGTAGTGTTTTTACTGGTATAAGAAGTAGGTTGAAATGCCACAGAACAAATATGTAGCATAGGTCACCAGCTGTAACCCCAAAAGGCTACTTGGTTCTTGACACAAATGAATTAAAAGGAAAAAAGAAACAGATTGCAGCTCAAAAAGATCACATATCTTAAAATGGGAAAGAAATATTTTAATACATTTATTAGCATCTGAGTCCTAGAAAAGTATTGTGATATGTATATTTTATAAATAAATACAATTATTTCTTATTAAAGCATCAATATGAGCATTTAAGAAGGCTAAGGAGATTGTTCTATTATATTGTTTGAATTTGGACCTATTTTTGCTACTGTTGGATGTGGAAAAATAATAGACGTTTTATTATTTACCTAATAATGAATAAATAAATTAGAAGAAAATTTGTATAACTTCCAAAGTTACCCAGCTACCTCTAATCTTTATCCTTCAGAACAACAAATTTTATCTCTGTTTTTTCATTCATTTCTGCCTCCCGAAAAAAAAAGAGAAAGAAGAATGGGGGAGAGAACAAGAAAAGGCAAAAGGTTCATATATCATAGTAGACTTTTCTTTAAAAAGGACACTTTGGAGAGATATTTGTTTTCCTGAATGGGACACAGAATATGCATTTATTGATTTATGCATTTATATCCAGTATTCCTTCTGAGAGCTCAAGATGGTTACATGGCAGTCATCTCTAAGGTTTATCCCGCCCACCCGCTCACCCCCAAAATCCCACTGCACAGGCTAGGCTGAGAAACAGCACCTGGCCCATCACTAGTGAACTCTGTGGTCAAGTTCATCATATTTATCCTCATAATAGACCATACTCCTGAAATATTTCTTTTCTACCCATGGTTCTGAAGTAATGAAAACAACACAGACAACAAAAATAACCGATGAAGTAAATCTGGAAGAATTTAGCTAGATTTTGGGTTGGACAAAACAGTATCCTACATTGGGAAGACCAGCAGGAGAAAATCGGATAATGGGATGGGGGGGATGGATTTAAGGAGCAGGTAGAAGAAGGGGGGATATATCTTGGACCAGGAGGTAAGACTGATAAAAGAAAAAGCAGCAACAAAGTGATCAGGCAGCAAAATGGGTAGAAAATAAGATGGGGTGGGGGGATTTATAACAGTGAGAAAATGTAGCCAAACAAGATAGAAAAGGGGGGAAAGAGGGGGAGCAGGAATACTTTGTGAGGTGATGGAGGAAGAGGAGAAAAAAACTTATCAGGTAAATGTTGTTTGATGGTATTAGAGGTATCATTGCAGGATGTAAGCTGTTCCAAGTACAATAAAGCTGCCTTTTGCAATGGACTGATAGTGATTTTGTCAATGCCAATGGTGTTCAAGTGCTGCCCCAGATGTTTTGGTATTGCATCTAAGGCACCTATTACTATTGGTAATATTTTTGCTTCTTTTTACCATAGTCCTTCAACTTCTATTTGCACGTTTTTGAATTTTATGGTTTTCTCCAATTCTCTTTCTTTTATTCTACTCCAGGTACTGCACATCCACTTTCCATTCTGTCTCCAGGTACTCCACATCCACTATCCAGACTTTTTAAAAATGTTTCTTATTGATTATTATTACAATGCAATACTGTATTTATGAGTTTTATTTTGCCTGCCCAGGGTCTCTAGAGCTAGACAATTCATACATGTTAATCAATAAAGAAAAACTAATAAAATAACTGAGCTGCATAAAAAGGGAGCTTGGAAAAATCAAATATAATTTTGTTCTAGAAAGCAATATTAGACAAGTGTTTAACTGGAGAATCATGTCTGATCTTTAATCAAAAAGACAGATAATTGCTCAGGCACATATTGACCATCTGTAGTTATCATTTCAACTCAACTAAAGAAAAATATGTTCAGAAAAGCTGAAGAACACAATCCTAGCATTTTAATTGTTCCAAATCTGTCATTTGAAAAACACAACCCACCACATTAGTGGAAGACACTGAAAATATTGACAGTCATTTAATATTTTATTTTTTTTCCAGATTGAGAAGACTGGCAAACAATACACACTAGCAAAATGAAATATCCATCTGTGCTACTATGATCCGAACCCAGAATTTCAAATACTAAAACATTAGGCCATTTTTTCTGATCCATATTCTACAATAGAAGTCACAGATGAAGAATCTTTTTTTCTTGTCTATATAGCACTTACCTATAAAGTTACCAAGTCACCAAGAGTCAGACATGACTAAATGGTCAAAACAACAAACAATAACATGCTAGGTTATATTTTAGTATCCAGTCATGTGGCTTTTGATGCTCCCTGCCAGCTTCCCACAGGTAAAGTAAATGTGGAAGCCTACAGGAAGTCAAAAGTTCCTCCCAGTCTGATTTTTTTCCTACCCATGATCACTATGTTTATCTATTTAGAAAAGAAAATGCTGATCCAGTGGATAATGTGTATCAAATCTGGTTAAAAATAGAATTGATGCCTTTCTAACATTACCATATTTTTCACTGAATATGGTGATACTTGTTTTGTTTCCATATTTAGTCCAATAAAAAAATTGCACCTAAAAAGATCATGACATATTAAAGCTAAATATCACTGAACATGAATCTTGAAGAGAGAGGGAGGGAGGGAGGGAAGGACTGCTTGATTTAATAAATGCAGAACAATGCTAGTAGGATCCATGACAGAAGAAACTAAACAGTAAAAGTGCTTAAGGACACTAATAATTCCTAAAAACAAGAGAAATTTAAAAGCCAGTTACAAATATCTCTAATGAAGAAAAAATAAACAGCTATGTCAAAAAAATAAAGTTCTGAAAGCAAGGACATTTTTAGAAAAATGTTAAGTAGCAGAAAAGAGGACAGATCATCAAAGAAGAAATACACTGAACAGGAACAGTAAAGACAATGTCATAAAAGTTCAGAATGACCCAAGATTGGCCAACAATGTTAAGAATAAAGAATGGATTCTTCGGTTATGTTTAAAATAAAGAGAAAATAAAAGAATAAAAATACAGTACGAGCTGCTCATGAAGATGGCAAGATGCTAACAGATAACAAAGAGAAAGCAGAGCTGTTTGAAGCTTACTTTGTCTCAATCTTTCACAATAATAGGAAGATATTTCACCAGGGAACTTGAAAAGCAAGATGAAGGGATAGTACTGAAGTTCAAAATTGGCATAGTTAGAGGATATCTATTTATTTTAAATGAATTCAAATCTCTATTCTAAGAGATTAGAATGCAACTCTGGTGATTAAAACCTAAAATGTCATTAAGATTATCTTGAAGTACCACATGATTGGAGAGAGCAAAAAGAGGAGCAAGCAAATTTAGGGATTGAGAAAACAGTAGAATTTCAAAAGTCAGGAAGACACCAGACTAGGTCATGGAGAGTTTAATATACTAAACACCTTAAAAACAGTGTGATAGTTATCAGAAATCAGCAACGATTTGTCAAGAATAGGGCTACCACATATACGCTACAAACATCTATGTACAAAAATGTTTATCTAGTGATTGTCCAGGGTTTTGCAATCCAGATATGGAATCCTAAGTCAAGAACAATTCTTGCCAGGTTAACATTTCATTTTTTAATTCTAAAATTTCCTTATTGGGTAAAGGGAATGCTATAGCTATAATATAACTTGATTTCAATAAAACATTTGCCAAAATACCCTCATGGCATTCCAATAAACTAGCTCCTTAAGTATGGGCTAGATTGCATGTTTTACTACCATTTCATTTTGCATAACTTTTTCTGTGTAGTTCAGAACTTTTCTTTAACATTATATCTTATTCTGGATCCACTATATAGGAAAGTTCAGTTCTAGTCCCACATATACCTCCCAGGCCAACACCTAAGACTTATAAGAGATTAAAAGATTTGGGCAGCTCTGCACTTAAGGGGAAAGAAGAAAACAAAATGTGATATCATTCTTCAATTAGCTGAAAAGATAGCATATATAAGATGGTCAAGTCTTCCTCTTTCATTCTAATCTGCAGAAGATGGAATAATGAATTTAAGTTATAGAAAAGCATTCCAGCTGAATGTTAGGAAAAAAAACTTCCTAACAATACATATGTACATAGCCATATCATGCCACTCTCATAGAAAGCAACAATGGGCGTTGGTAGAAGTTACCGTGAACACCCTTTCTATCTATGCTGCGAGAGAGCCCAGGATGGGTTGACTCCTTCCTATGACGTCATTTAGCTGAGTCTGTACTAAGATATAAAAGTCAGCCCCCGGGAGAGACCCCAGCTTTGGCAAGATACTTGACAGACTGAAAGTGTCTCTGAAAGCCCAAAATAAATACAGAAATATGTCTTACCCTCTCCAGACGAATCAAGGGAGGAGCTGGGCTCTCTCGCAGCATAGATAGAAAGGGCATTCACGGTAATTTCTACCAATGCCCATTCTCCTCCATGTTGCATCGAGAGCCCAGGATGGGACATACCAAAGCTTGCATGTCCACGGGCGGGTCCTCGTCTGGCTCATCACACTGACTGTGGAACCACTTGTTGAAGCACCCGTCTGCTGAAAGCTGCAGTTGCCGAGCAAAGGCATCCAGACGGTAGTGTCTGATGAAAGGAGACGGGGATGTCCATGTGGCCGCACGACAAATCTCTTCCAAGGATGCTTGGGTCACCCAGGCAGCAGAAGTGGCCGCGCTTCTGGTAGAGTGCACCGTCAGACCTCG